TTCGGTGTGACAGTTAGTGTGTGTACTAAAAAAAAAGAAGAAAGAGAGAGAGAGAGAGAGAAAATGGACACAGTAGCCCGGATGGGGTAGGGAAGGAGGGAAGGAGAAGGCCACATTGCTTATTGTAGCCACACTAAAAATCAAATTGTTTGAATGACAGCCTTCTGTTGCTTGGGCCATCCTCTGGAGTGGAGTGGCTGGGTGCCCGGAGCCTTTCCCCCCCACCCCACCCCGCGTTCTTGGGCATCTGGGTGAGGAGGCTATGGAACATGGGAAGAAGGGTAAGCGGTTATATAGTGGATGCAACTGGGGTCTGTGTTCTTCTTGGCTTTCCTGCAGCTCCAACAGATGCTTCATCATGTCCATTTGCTCCCCCATTAGCCTCAGCCTCCCGTCTGCTTCCGCTCTTTGTGCTCACTTAATTCTTTCCTGGCCTCTGCCACTGAATGCCTCCATACATTAATCAGTGCAGGAGGACTGCATGACCTCAGAAAACATGTCATCGCGAGTGCGTTTTTTTCACCTTTTAATCTGCGATAACCTCAGGGACGGGGATGATAGGGGGAGCGTAGAAACATTCTACGCTCTATGATTCTGGGGGGACTGCATGGTCACCTGTGCTGCTGAGTTCGCCACACTGACCTAACAGGAAATGAAATTAAAAAGTTCCCGGGGCTTTTCCTGTGTACCAGGCTAGTGCATCGGAGTTCAAAGTGCTCTCCAGAGCAGAAAAGGACCTAGGGGTTACAGTGGACGAGAAGCTGGATATGAGTCGATAGTGTGCCCTTGTTGCCAAGAGGCTAACAGCATTTGGGGCTGTATAAGTAGGGGCATTGCCAGCAGATTGAGGGACGTGATCATTCCCCTCTATTCGACATTGGTGAGGCCTCATCTGAAGTACTGTGTCCAGTTTTGGGCTCCACACTACAAGAAGGATGTGGAAAAATTGGAAAAAGTCCAGCGGAGGGCAACAAAAATGATTAGGGGGCTGGAGCACATGACTTATGAGGAGAGGCTGAGGGAACTGGGATTGTTTAATCTGCAGAAGAGAAAAATGAGGGGGGATTTGATAGCTGCTTTCAAGTACCTGAAAGGAGGTTCCAAAGAGGATGGATCTAGACTGTTCTCAGTGGAACCAGATGACAGAACAAGGAGTACTGGTCTCAAGTTGCTGTGGGGGAGGTTTAGGTTGGATATTAGGAAAAACTTTTTCACTAGGAGGGTGGTGAAGCACTGGAATGGGTTACCTAGGGAGGTGGTGGAATCTCCATCCTTAGAGGTTTATAAGGCCCGGCTTGACAAAGCCCTGGCTGGGATGATTTAGTTGGTGTTGGTCCTGCTTTGAGCAGGGGATTGGACTAGATGACCTCCTGAGGTCTCTTTCAACCCTAATATTCTATGATTCTAACAAAGGAGATTGGCCCAGGTTTAAGGGACAAACCTGTATATTAAGGACTTGCAATATCCAGTGGGGTGAGAGAAACTGCTTAATCTAGATGTTGCCCAGTCTAATAGGGTTGAGAATTTAGACTGCGTGCTTATATTTTATTTTCTTGTGGTAACTAACTCAGACTTTACCTATCACTTAAAATCTATCTTTTCTGTGTCAATAAATTTGTTTTGCCGTTTATCTTTACCAGTGAGTTTGCCTGAAGCATGTGGTAAATCTGCTCAAGTTTGCAAAGGCTGGTGTATATCCACTTTCCATTTAGAAGTGGAGAACCAATTAGTAAATTTGCATTGTTCATCTTGAGCAGTGCAAGATGGCATATTCCTACCATACAGTGCTAGGAGCTGGGGAGATTTGGCTGGTGCTTTTCTCTGTGTGATTCATGAGTGGCTCTGGGAGCATTCATGCAATCTAGCTGGGTGGGGGGCTCCACATTCCGTTGTGCTGAGTGATCACAGCGCCTGGAGGGGGTTGCTGCTTGCCACTAGCAAAGCATTGTGAGAAACAGCCCAGGCTGGAGAGTTAAGGGGGCTCAGTGGTCGCACAGTCCCAGGCTGCACCCTGGGCATCAAAACACATTTAGCCAGATTGCAGGCAACAACTCCCTGTTTTCTGAATCTAACCTCACTATATTTCTTCTATACTGATAAAAACTGCTCATTCCCTGCGGTCTCTTTTCACCACCCCCGTGCAGAGGGATTCCTGTTTTACAGATCTAGGAACTGGAGTGCCTAGCAATGCTTTCAGGCTCATCTAACAGCTTCCAGATCCTTAATTTAATTTCATTACCAGCCCTTTCTATCTCCCTACCTCTGTTTTATAAATAAATTATTGACTCCCTGCTCCCAGGACACAGGCTGGGAGCAGCACCTCTCCTCTCCAGAACTCACTACATTCTACACTCGCGCTATGGTGCAGTTAAGAGCAATGCCCGGGGCTAGGGCATGCACTGCAAGCAGACCTCAGGTATGAAATCTGGGGTGGGGAGACACTCGGGCTCACAGCAGGGAGCTGCCAGCAGAGCTGAGACCGGGCTCTCAGCACCACACACTGCCCCTCTTAAGTTGCTGGAAGCGCTCCTGGTAAGGACATGCACTGCCAGTCCAAGGAGGATAGTGTGAACATGCACCTCCGCAGTAATTACTGTGGTGGCTGTAAGTTGATCTAATATAGGTCAACTTACGTCTCTAGTTGAGACATACCCAGTAGCTGGTATGGTTTCCCCTGTTCCCCAGAGTGAATGATGCCAAATGCTCCCTCATTCTGGCTACACACACCTGCGTAAATATTAATGGGGAGAGTGGTCAGAAACCAGAGTAAAGAACATAACGAGGCTTTTCTATGCAAAGAATGGCCCCTGGAATTCTGTGGCAAGAGTAGTTAAAATGTCTCTTTATTAATATACAAACCTAGTAACCTGTAAACCAACAAGGATGGAAATTATTAACTGAAACACAGCATGATATAAATACAGCATACAAAGTAGGTAATAACATGGCATTGGCAGAGAACAGCAAGACCACCTTTTCTTGTGCACTTGGGATCAGCCATTTAGGTCTCCCAGAACTGGCTCCAATTATTAAAGGGGTTTCTGTGTCTGCATAAATATGTTCTCATTCTAAATGCTGTAAGAGAGGTGAGGCTGCTGCTCTCCACAAAGGCAGACAATATAGTACAATATCTTACAGTAACAACATTGAGATTTTCTACATCCCAAGAGTTCAAAGCAATTAAAAGCATAATTTGTACTCCTAGAAATGATCCATTTGTATCCATCTGCTGAAACACATTCTCTTTGGAAGGGGAGAGGTGGTTGTTTGTAATGGCTGAGGAATCATGTTAACATAGTTGATTGTGGCTCTCTCCTGCATCAGATGCATCCATTACACAACATTCATAAGCGTAAGGCACTAGAAAATAGTGAGACTATAAATGTTTTCACAGCTCCAATTCTTGTTCTGCTAGAGAAATGATGGCACATTTTAAAAAAACTTTAATTAAAAAATTCACCTAGCCCTATAAACTTGGTTCTTGGGGGGGGGGGGGGAGCGCAGATGGTTATGAAGGGATCACATTCTGATGGACAAACAAATTTAAGGTGCCACTGAGAATGAAAATAAGAGTCACCCAAAGAAGGTATGCCTAATTCTGTGTGCAGTTCCGAGGGTGGCAGTCTCTGTTCAGGAAAGAGCTGTCATGTTTTGTGCTGTACAAGGTGCAACTCTGGAGTTAAGCAGGGAAAGCAGAAGTGTTTGCACTGTACAGCTCAGTTCCCCGGAAAAACAGTGCATCAGTAACAGTGTGGGCTGCCAAGTCCAAGCAGCTGTAACAGAATGTTATCCACAGCCTGGGGTAAGGATCAGGCAAAAAGGAAGCAGGCTGCTTACATAAATGATGATCCAGGCAATAACTAAACCCAAGAGACCCCATGAAGGGAGTTTTAAAACATTTCACTCAGACCGTTATTTGGGCCAATCCATTAGCAGATCTGACAGCAGACACCATGTTCTGGAGGGAGAGGTGCCAGCGAAACATCACTATCGAATGCTATGGAACTGTGAGAAAACTGCATGCCTGGGAGCTAGTCTATAGAGATTGATTCTCAGTGTCAGGAGTAAGTTTGCCTCCCTCACGTAGAGCTTGCATCATTACTCTCTCAGATGAGCACGTGACCAGACCTCTATTCAACTTTCTCTGTAGCCATAACAGCAGCCAAGATGGCCAGTTTTAGACCCCAGAGAGATGAATCTGTATCGACACATGACCCTAACGTAGTAGAATCACACTCAGTAAAAGGTGTAAATGCAACCATACCAGTGGAACAGAATCAGAGCTAGGTCCAGTCAAGGGTATCCAGCTGGCTCCCAATACACTTAAAAGATTTTGTAGCATAGAAGGGATCTTGACCATGTCCCTAAGAGGTGCAAGAGCCTGGACTTTCCCTTCTATGCTACAAAACAGAACTGTGCCATAAGCATGTGGGGCAGCTCCTGGATAACCACTGTATTTGTAACAGAGGTGGGTATCAAACATACACTTGGCAAGAGCAGCTGTTTGTTGTCATTTGGTCAGGAAGCTGTTCATATACAACCATGTTTACCTTTCTCTCTGTAACCTTCATGGTCTCCCTTGATGCACATACCTTCGTAGGTGAATCATCTTAGACAGTAATTGTAATACCAGCAATATATAAATACTGCACGCTTTATATTGCAACTCCAATGCAAGCCTACACGTTAGTCATGTAATAAAGTGAAGAATTTAAATATACAGGAGTCAAGAAACCCAGAAGTTACCTGCATAAACAAAGAGACTGGACAAAAGAGCAACATGGTGAAGTTCACGTTGCTCTGAAAGCCATAACTCCTGAATGCCCTGGCTTGGTGTGTAAACACTAAAGCCTACAGTAATGCAACATTCAGATGGAGGATTTCATTTTGTTTTCTAAAAGCCAGAAAGCAATGGGGTCCTGCCATGAAGCACATTTTACGCCAGTGGAGGCTTTTTTCTTTAAACAAAGGACCTTAATGACAGTTTCACTGGTGTTTTTCTGTCCCCCTTAATTGCACAATTCCACTCTTGAAAAAGTGTTACCTACTGACATTTGTTCAGAAATGGAAACCATGCATCTGATAGGTGTTTCCCCACTGATTTAATTCCCACAGCACTTTTGTGCAAATTCCACCTCTGCAGCAAAGGAAGAGGAACAAATGCACTCTGGTAACTTCCAGTGCCTTCAGCATTTACTCAACAGCCCCTGCTGGCGTTAGTGCCTGCTCTGCAAATACAGTACCTGCAGTAACAAATCAAGCAGTATGCACTGCCTGTGCACAAACATCTAACATAAAGCATTAAGACATTTAGACTTGTTAAGTATTCCTTCCTCAAACTCAACATGGATTGTGCTCATTGAGGACTATGAGCATATCAAGTTTTGAATGTTCAATTGTTTGAGCAAGTTTATTCTTTTTCTTTAAGTGTAAAAAATAAGATTTAATTGATTTCCTTAACCCAAACAGCTGAATTAATTTGCCTTAAATAGCATTAGGTTTTCTCCCCTTACAAACCGAGAGAGAGAGAGAGTGCGAGACAGACATGCACGCGTGTGATGACTGAAGAGAGGTGAGTAGAACTGAAATTCCTTCCCAAACTTAACCAAAATGTTTGCCTCCATAGGCACTATGATAAAAATTACAAAAATAACCTGGGATGACTGAAATCTGAAAAATTATGAATATTTTTCTGTACCCACCAGGATATAAGCCTTTGTTTTAAAAATAAGTAAAACTCTTGCATTTGGAAGGAACTTTCCTTTTTTCACCCCTAGATATTGGTTTGTTTTTGTAGGACTTCTGAACATTTTTAAGGAACAAAACAAACGCACGTTTGGAAAATTTATGAATGACAAAAGGGTAGGTCCAATATTGGGCGTACAGATGTTGATGTTACCTCTTTAGAATTAGGCACTGCTTGCAAGAATTTGCCTTTTAATGAGACCGGTACTCCAAGCTCTGCATACACAAGCAGTTCCATCACAACCTCTGATTTGGCTTGACTCCTTCTAGGAAAAGGAGAGGCAATGGAGAGTAGTTTCTGGTGGAAAGTGAATGTCTGCATTCATCACTATTATTCAGTGGGCATCTAGCACCGTACATCTGCATGGAGCCTCACAGAAAACATACATAATCCCTTGACTGAGAGACCTCACCAACTATTAAGATGAACTCTGGAAATCACAACAGGTTGGGGAGGGAGGAATGGACAAGGGTGACATGTTGAGACTGAATCTTGGAAGATCAGAATTTTACATCTGAGAACAGAGTAGGGTAAATAAAAAACACATGGTGGGTGGAAAACCAGCTGAGATAGCTGGAGTGAAAGCAGGGATCTGAATGCAGAGGGATGCTGTGTGCCACTGACAAAGGGAAGTCACTGCAGACATGTAGGGTGTGGGCAGCATGAGAAGCCGCATGAAGGAAGGAGTGGGAGGAGACAAAGGGAGGATTAAACAAAGAGAGAGGGCAGAGGGCGGGGTGGGATGCAGGTGGGGGCAGAGTTGTGTAGCATCTTGAAGCTGAGGAGTTTGAACTTGATGCAGAAAGACCAATAAAGGGATTTGGGGTGGACTTGGTTGGAGTGTAGGAAAGGAAGCACTGTGGATAGACTGAAAAGGAGGAGGAGCTTACAGTAGTCACAGAGAACAAGGCATGAACCAGGATTTTGGCGGGGGGGACGAAGATGTGTGAAGGGAAAAGCAACTGGACTTGGTGAGAACTTGGATGAGAGAACAGCAGGAAACAGAGAAGTCAAAGATAGTAAAGGCTGTGAGCTGGGGTGGGTGGGAGGAGAGTGTGATGTGAAAAGGGGGGAAGGGAGACTGAAGAGGAGAGGTGAAGAACAGACTTAGCCATGTTAAGTTTGAGGAGATGGCTAGACATCCTGGAGGAGGTACTGGGCAGAGGTAGATTGAGAGTCATCAGTACAGAAGTGATGCAAGAGACCATGTATAGCCGATGAGATCAGCCAAGAGAAGAGTGATAGAGAAGAGAGAGAGGATAGGGGTCCTGGGGTGAAGAGGGTTCCCAAAGGGAATCCTGAAAGAGCAGCCAGCTCTGCAGAGCACCAAGGGACAGCCCCAGAAATCTAGGGATGGAAGTGTCTCCAGAAGTGTGATCCACAGGTGTATATGTTATTGGGGGCGTAGGGGGGAGAATGAGTCTGAAGAAGGGACCCTTATATTTTTCCAGTCTTGTGGTGTCAAGGAGGACTGAAAATGCCAACTTCATCAGACAGCATGAGAACTGTGTGTTACAACATTTCCGAAGCTCAGATTCCCATTGCTTTTTAATGAGGGGTTGTTTTCAGTCTTACTTTGCATCAAAGCCAAGATGGCAGCTTCCAACTTGTTATTTTTTTCTCCCTTACGCACTTTATTCTTTGTAATTAGATACAATAGGTAGAATCTTTACACTGCAGTTTCCCTTTCAGGGTATGAAAACATTATGGAAAAGGTAGAAGCTCCTTGCAAGATCCTAGTGCCTAGTACGGTATTTCACAATCCATCATGTGACTGTCCGCTGGCAAGCACTCAAGCTGCCAGAGTCAAATTATTCGTTAGCAGCACAAAGGGAAAAAAAGAATCTACCAAGGAAACGGCTAGACTTCAAAGAGCACAGGCACAGAGGCTAAGCCAAAGTCAGAGAAAGGACTGGTAACAGGTAAGGCCAGAGTAGGTGCGTCTGAACTGGGAGACAGCCAATTGCCAAACTGTCTCATTTCAAAATGGTACCATTGTAACACTTAACCATCCCAGCAGGAAGAGACAGACGTGGATGGAATTACACCATACCTGTGTGGCACCATTACAAAATCTTCACCCTCATATGTGGGTACTTCAGGGTTAAATAGACCTGGACAAAAAGGGCGCTATTAACTCTGCAAAAGTGAAAAGGGCAAAAGTCACCCATGCTACGCAGACAAGTTTATATTCCTAGGTATGGACCACTTTGGGATGGGGAAGCCATATAAAAAAAAATGCTCTTCTTCAGGGATTTCTTATTGCTGTGAGACTAATAGATAGTGGCTTTTTGTGTGCTCTTGACCAGCTGTGGTCATTAAAAGTTCCACAGTATAACACTCCTCCTAAGACAGTGAAGGGTGTCCTGGTCCAATTCAAACTCAGATAGTTATACTCAGTCTACCCAGAATTCTCCATTGTGGTATAAAATATTTTTCACTTTCCCTCCTAAACTGTTATGTAGCACTGACTGATGCATTCCACTGCAGAAGTGCCTTGGTGCTATACAGTAAGGGGAGGCTGAGAAGTTTTCCTTAACCTTGCCAGGTACTAAGTAATAACCTCTTTCTGTGGGTTATCAGCCAGTACTCTATATAACAAAGACACGGCAATGGGCCAGATAACGCAAGACAGGTCAGGACTGATCAGTACTTTGTAGGAGACCTCCAAGGAGAACCACATGTGCTGCGGAAAATTGTATTGGTGGATTTACTAGGTGGCATTCTTCTGACTCAGTACTGAACAAATGCCCCAGCATGGGGGATGTAAATGTTATGGAGTGGCTGTAAAATGAAGACCCTGTCCACTTTGTCATGAAAGACCTTATGGCACATTTAGTTAAAACTTGGGTGCTAGCCCTGGTACGCTGGCCAAATTCCAATTCAGGTGATAACACTGCTAGAGTAATTTTAGCTAAACAGTATTAACCAGGTACAATATTCCCTCCACAACCAAACTATTATGCCCAGTACTGCTTCTGTGTCCTGTCAAATGGCTGCGACATTCCACCCCAAAAGTGGCTGCATTTCAAGCCATGAGGGAAGTTACTCATGTGCATAAGAGCTTGAAAGTCACTTTGGGATCCTGAAGGAGGAGACATTATTATTATTCTTTTAGAATAGTATTAACTGCCATTTACAAAGGAAGCCATGCTCAGCACAGTGGGCCACTACAGGAAGAAAACAGCCATCCACAGCAAGTGCATCCATGTCCTACCACAATGCAGACTCCACCTCCTGCCTGCCAACAAAGACCCTGCCAAGAAGTGCTGTCATTTGAGTCCCCAGTTTCTTCTCCAGTCCATGCCATTCCCAGTGCTCCACTCCCAAAAGCTGTGAAAGCTGTACAGCTCTTTACCATTTGGGAAGCCTCCTCTGGCAACCAGTTCTTTACAATTAAAATGTGTCAGTCTCCCACCTCACCTGCTCTTACTACCCACAGCAGCAGCAGTCATAAAGCCAGCTTCCAGTGTATGGGAGGGAAGTTCTGGGACATTACCACTTCTACAATAGCAGGACAAAGACTTGATGGAAGCCAGGAAAGGAGAAAATCTTCAAAAGACAGGAATCCAAGCCAGGTCTTGAGTAGCGCTGTGCTCAAATGGAACGTTACTGATGCTCACCCAAAGACAGGAAAAGCAAGTGACGCAGCAAGGTAAAGTTCTGGCTCCTGGCTCAAAGACAAACAATTCAGCCAGCTCAGTGACCACAGACATCAATGTCAAATGGTGCTCCTTGCTAGACAGAAAGATGCTGGCTTCGGTGGAAGGGCTGCTGAGAACCACAGAGTGGGGGAACCAGAAGTGTGTGTGGTGGGGGGGGGAGGCGGGGTGTTGTTACTGGAGATGTTTTAATGGATAATTTTAAAATAAGGGAAGAGAAAATGCACTACTGTGATCTAGCTGACAATGGGAGGAGGAAGAATTTAAGAGACAAATCCACAGGATACAATCTGGCATTCTTCATTCACTTGCTTTCCCATTCCACCGTAACTATTTGTCATCAGTGAAGAGCTGTCAGCTTCAGAGTGGGTGGATCCCCGCTCTGTAGTCTGGAGTGTCTGTGAGTTTCTGCATGACGACTGTGCAGAGAGATTTTCCTGAGGCAAGGCAATTCAAAGATCCTTACTCACTTTCTCTTCTAACCGCAGGACCCTGCATAGTGAATCAGCTACCTTCAACTGAGGTAGTATTGTGATGGGGAAGACAGAAATGCAACAGATCTGATGGGAAGGGCGGGAAACATGCATTGGGCCAGCAGGCATAGCTGAGAGACATTGCCACCCTTACCAGGAGCATAGTGTTTTGCTCTGCAGCACTCAGAGCACCATAGGTTCAAGGAACCAAACTTGGGACCTCAACTCTAATCTCCAAGTGGTCAGCAGCAAGTTGCTCCAAGGCTGCTGGCTGAAAATGAAAGACTCCATCCCTTCCTCTGCTCTAGTTTCCCAAACTAACACAATCCTCACATTCAACTCTAATGCTTGGTGTGTAAGCCAGACAAGTGTGTTTGCTCCAACACACAAAGCAAAACAAAGGAGAAAGAAGGAGAATCCACAGAGAATCCACTGTGCAGCTGAAACAAAAGCAGCCAAGAGTCCTTGTTGGAGATAGACATTTTCACTGAGAATAAAAATACAAAGTTCTGTCCCTTTGTAGGAGTGAAGTGCACATGTTGATCTTCACTTACTCAGAGAAAGTCATTCCCTTTCAGTGACCCAACACAGAAGAGGAAACTTATCAGCGCTATTTTGTCACTTACACAGCCTCACGATCAAGCCTCTTAAACTCACTCCCTGGAAAGGAAAAAGAGGAGGGCGGTGATGGCCTGGAACCCACCAAAACCTGCCTGTTTGCCACTGGTCGCACAATGTTGTTACGTCTTGTGTGGTGCCAGTGAGGTAGCTGATGGTTCTATTGCTCTGTGCATCAATGCACTGACCCCTCTGAACTGTGGACTGGAGGACCTCAGAGGAACTGGCTGGCAAGAAGGAACCTCCTAAGTTGGGCCTGTGTGCACCCTATGGTAGGTCTGGCCTCTCCACTGCAACCAGCAGGTGAGATTACACCAAAGGGTTTAGCCAGGGGACAGGAAAACAGAGCTACAGGCCAGCAAACACCTACTATTCTAGGCCGTAAGCAGCAGGGGGATGGGAGGGGTACAGTCCTCAAGACTTCACTTGCACCATCTCAACAGCCATTGGGGTACAGCCTAGGGTTTCTGAAGGTGCTTGCTCCCATATGGGCTGTCGGTCGTACACTCAACACCATGCTGCTGCCACAGGAGGAGTGAGGTGTGGGAATATGGCATGGGAAGGTGTAAGAGGGCGAGAGAGAGAGACTGAGTGAGGGGGTGGAAGGGTTTGAAAAATTAGTTCTATAATGTACAAAATGTCACACACCCAAAAGGTTTAAAAATGGAAAGAGCAGGGGGAAGAGGAAGTGGAACCGTATGGGTTGAAGAATGAGGGAGATTGTGGGGAAGGAGAGGAGGATGGTGACACAAACTCCAGTTATGGAGAAGGGGTGGGGCCAGGTGGTTCTACTTCCCATGGTAGCCACTCAATTCCATCTCATCCTTGCGGCGACGCTGTGTGAAGAGGGAGCTGAAGGGGTAGAGCTTGGCCTTAGCCTGGAAGCGCTGCCCAGCAATGTCAATCTCATACTCGCCCCGGTTAATGAAGTCGGGTGTCACCACCAACGCCTCCCTGGTTTCCTCATCAAAGTTCTGCACAAAGCCCAAGCAGACATGGCGATCCAGGGTGTAACTGTAAGCGCTGCTGGTGGTCTTGCCCACGTAATGGCCGTTGCGGTAAATGGGCTCCCCCCACCAGGGCCAGAGATGAAGGTCTGTGTCATGATCCTCCAGGATGAACATGGTGAAGCGCTTGCACACACCGTCCTGCTTCTGCTGCATCAGTGCATCCCGGCCAATGAAATCAGTCCCCTGGAGAGAGAAGGAAAGGCCAGCTGATGAAGGGCCCGTGATCTGTGCCCGACTCAGCTGCTGGATTTTACGCGACAGCTGCTTAGTGATACAACGTCAGCCTAGGACCATGCAGCATGGAAACGCTACCCACTGAAACTGGTCCCTTCCCAGCTGCAAAGAAACAGGAGCTGGCGAGTCACTCACGTGTTTTGCCTTCCCTCGTTTTCAGCTGCTGAACTGCATTAAACAGGCATAAAAAATACAAAAACATAGGAGGTGCAGTTAAATTCATTCCAGGTTTACCAGTACTACTGATTCCAGCAGTCTTCCCCATTTTATTATGTATAAATTGTTGGAACTGGTAATACCGCTAAAAGCAGAATGAACACCCACTGTATTTTCTTAGAATTACATTCAATGTAAACAATTACTGTAGTTCCCGCAAAGATGTGATCTGGTCACAGGTAGGCGAGGACAGAGTGCACACAGTCAGCACCAGGAAGGTATGCAATCTCTATTAACGTGTGGTCCAATGCTAATGTTATGGGAAAAAATGGAAGACTGCTGCCTTCCAGTTCTCTCCACCTTGAGGTGTTTTAGAATGGCTACTGCTGGCCCCTGTTTATTACTTTCTCTTTCAGTCCCTTGTTTTCCCTTAGCTGCAGCTTTTCATTTTTTGGGTGTGTTTTTAAAAGGGTGCGATTTTGTTATATTTTGTTTCTCTCCTCACTTTGTTGGAAACTATGAACAAAGCAATCATTCTCCACTTTCTGGATTAGCATGGATAATCCTTTTAGAGTTCGATAGTAGCAATTTACAGTTTGGCTATACTGTGAAATTAATTTGGATTAAGGTAGGGTGTGAATTTAAAGCAGAATAAACATTCCTGATTAACTCACTGTTTGGACGTTCTTATTCCAGAATAAGAGTGCCTTATTCAAAATTCTAAGAGGTAGTCAAGTTTTAGTGGAAGGGGTGCGGAAGTGGGAAGAGTTTGTTTGGTCGAGCACCATTGTGTGAACCGCTTCCACTTTCGGAGATAGGTCGTGCGTGTGAAGGGACTGCTTGATGTCATGACTCAGTGGCAGATGCGTCTACTGGTGGTACCAAGCAGGTCTTGCCCCTGCCTCTGGTGACATATCAAGTGTGATCCCAAGTATAAGGTGCCCATGGAGCCCAATATTGCCATTGAGCTGGAAAGGACATGGGTAGTGCCATCCATGGGTTTGCATACTGGGGGCAGGATCCTGGGGGTAGGACAAGGTAGTTTTTTTATGACACATATTGATTGGGGTCTGTGAATGGAAGATATGATAGGGTGAAAAGTCTCCCTGCAGCACAGATTACGCATCACTGGAGAAGTGGGAATTAGCAGGAGAAAGCTGTCTGGACTTGCGTGAATGTCCAGAGAGAAGCAGGTGTCAAGCAGGGGTGACTGCAGGATAGGTGACCCCTGCAGGTTCTTTGAGTGAGTAAATTGCAGTGCCGCAGCGCCTCTGTGTGGTGAGGGCTGTGTGAGAGGTATTTGCTGTGCAGGAGGGTTCATCTACACTGGTGTCCTGAGCCTTGTATCACTACCGGCAAGTTCGGAGGGTGACGGTACCGGTATAGCGAGAGCAGCCTGTGGAGGGTCAGGCAGGCTAATACGTGTTGGCAACGCATCTTTCGCAGTGCCAAACGGTGCCATATGAGAGGCTGGAAGCCTGAAGCCCCGGCACCAGGGTTTTGTGCTACCCTGTTTCCCCGAAAATAAGACAGTGGCTTATATTAATTTTTGCTCCCAAAGAC